CTGATCTTCCCCGGACGCGGAGGCCCCGCAGGGGAGGCCTCTGCCCAGGGCCAGGTTCCCTGCTCGACTCTTCAGAATGTGGCTGACAGAGCAGAGGGGACTGGAGCTCAGCTGTGTGTACGGGCTGGGCCCAGGATGTGGGAGGCACCCCGCGAAGGACTCCTCACCCAGCGCCCCCAGTCTCCCGCCAGGGCAAGGGCCGCTTCTTTCCGCGCTGCCTGCTGCACCTACCTACTGAAGGGGTGATCTGCCAAGTTCTGGGAGGAGAAAGTTCCAGACGGCGCTCTGGCAGTGGCAGAACCCCAACGTCCCAGCTGCAGTGAGAAAGCAGAGGTGGTAAGGCTCCAACTGTTTCGCCTAGTGTCACCAAGAAACCACTGAGCGGCTAGCCAGGCTCCCCAGCTTTATAGGCGCAGGGGGCGGGGCCTGGGCTGCCCTGCCGCCCGCCCCCTCTTCCCTCCAGCCTGCGCGCTCCGGCACCCGGCGCGCTCCCAGCTTGCCTGTGGGTGTGGGGTGTGGAGTTTGGGGTTTAGGGGTGGGAGCGTCCCTCATGCCCAGAGGGCTTAAGGATGAGCCCCAGGAGACTGGTACAGGCACTTCCACAGTGCTGACTCTCGGCACGGGGTTCACACCATGAGCCCTGGCAAAGTAGGGCCGGTACAACTCCTTGGGGTCTTTACCCAGGATCTACGCAGCCCAGAGCGCAAGGCCTCCTGGCATGGAACTGCAAGAGCCAGCGCGGGTACCACTTGGATGTGCCAAGCTCCGGCCCTCGGGAGCTGCGGCCTCGAGTGGACCGCGCCCTCTGCCGGCTCCGAGCCTGAGCCGCCGCGACCCCAGACTCCGTCGGAGCAGCAGGGCCAGGGCACAGGGCACAGCCTAGAGCAGCGGGGCTCGCTAACACCCACCCACCCAGCCTCCCAGAGAGCGGCGGAGACTCCGGGGTTGTGGACTGGGCCAGTAAGATTTCGCAACAGGGGCAAGGCTCAGAAAGACTAGTTTGAGAATTGGGATTAGGGGGAGGGGGGGGAAGGTGTATCTTAAGTTTCAGAATTTGCATGCCTATTTGGAAATACAGGAATAACCAAAATTAGAAGAAAGATAACATTTCGGATTCCCCGCCCGCCCCCACCTTGTAATCCAATTATTCCATATAAGGTTACAGCCAGAGTCGCCCGGCTGCCCTCGGAGCCTTGGTACACCCATTCTAACCGTGAGGACTGCCGGGGCGCACACTAACGCGGCACCTGTTTCATGGCTGTACAGCTTAGAGAGCCCGGCCACATCCTGGTCTCCTTTAACTCTCACACCGACCCTTGAGTTAAGCGAGCAAGGTAACATTACTTTTCTCATTTCGCTAAGTGGAAAGCTGAAGTTCAAAGCGAATGTGTTTTCCCAACGTCACACCAAAGGTGGTAAGCGGTAGAGTCCTAGCTCGGCCCGTGGGCGGGCACGGCAGACTGGGGCGCGGCGTGGATTTTTTCTAAACGAGGGCCATCGTCTCGTCAAAGGGGAGCGGAGGGTGCTAGCCCCCGCTCAAGTATTTATGCCTGTTCAGGACGAATCGCCCCAAGCACGTTTGTCACCCCTTTGTACTCTTCCATCACTGCTTCTTGACTCCACTTTCTTATTTATCTTTTGGGGACCAAACTGGGGAGGGGACTCAGGCTCCCTACTTGAATGCGGGCCTCTGGTGTCCTATCACCTACTCCCCCAGGCGCAGGTCCTGGAGCCCAGGGCCTGGACTGGGAGGCCGAGGGCGCGAGGCCACTGGCACTCACTCTACGGCGATTCGCTGCATGAACCTGGGCGAGTCGCGTCCCTCCTCTGGTCTCCGCATCTGTGTGACATGCCCGCAGCAGGTCCTCGGCGTCCCGCCCGCTTTGCCATACTGGCTCTGCCATGCGGGGGAAGGCGGCGGGGCGCGGGCTGGGTCAGGCGCGCCTTGCCTGGTCTGGGCCGCGCGCTCCTGGCTCGGCCGCCTTTTCACTCTCAGGACGGAACCCTGGACATTGCACCTGGGGAAGGGAAGGGCGTGCCAAAGTAATTTATTCTGCGGACTCTTCCCCCAGTCACCCGAGCGGACCGGAGTTTCAGCGGCGGGCGGGGGGCGGATTCCTGGCTCCGGTGCGGGAAGGGCGCGCGACGCCGAGGGTCAGACTGCGCGCCGCAGCTGGCTGGCTAGTGGGGGCCTCCCGGCCGGCCGCAGGTGGTCACCCGCGGACCCGGCTAGGCGGCGGGTCTGTCCCCAGCGCAGACAGCAGGTATTACTGCGCGTCTGCTTTGTCCCCAGGAGCCTCGCCATCCTGTTTTGTTTTTCTTACTCGTCTCCCATTTTCCATCTCTTCCTTTCAGTTAGTCCCCTGCAAGTCTGGCTCTTCGCACGGACCCTGTCCAGGACAGGCTGTCTATGTTGTCTGTGAGGATGCGACCCATTTGTCGCCAGCTTTCAGCTGGGTCCGCGCCAAAACAGGTTTTACTTTCATTTCCCCGGCGCGCGCCTCGGACTGCTGGAGAGGTCAAGGACAGCTGCGCGCCGGCCACCGCCGGGAAGGCCCCGTGGTCTGCATCCGTGCCTTCCAGCTCCCACCAGCGCTGGGAGGTTTGGGCTGCAGAGGACTCTGCTGCTGTACCTCGTTGCCTCCTGCGTCCTTTAGAAAAGCCCCTGATCCCACGCGGGGAAGCAGCTCTAGCTCCAGAATCACGGAGCTGCAAACTTCACGCTAATTTGGGTGACGAACAAGCAAAGCAAACCCAGGAGTGTAGGCTCGGCTCTGCTCAGCCCGGGCCCAGTGTCTACGCCCCAGCGCGGTGGTCGTGCCAGAAGTTCCCCCCTGAGAGCCTTGGCACGCTCCTTATCAGCCCAGGTGCGCGCGTAGCTCTGGCACCGAGAGATCTGACGCTTGAGAACCCTGCCAATTCTTTCTTTAAAGTTCTGGATTGGCAGCGTGTGATTTTGCTAGCACATTCGTAT